TAAGACATGTGTTAGTAATATGGGTTAGTAAAGGCATCATCATCAGACATTTCCAACTATAGGGGGTTGTCTACATGAATGTTGTTTAATCATTTTGTTCGGTTTAATTCCAAATCCATTGTTACTTAAAGTCTGTTTGGTTCCCTGGAATACGTGTTTGGAATTGGATCAAACTGTTTGTTTGGTTGGAATAGGATTTCAATTCCTTTTCTTAGTAGAATGGGATTCTCCTAAATGCAATGTTCAAAATATCAATACACTCTTGTGTATCGGTAGGGGCGTATCAGTATTTAAGATGGTACGATTTTATATTTTTTTAGTTTCTTTTTCAAAATTTGTTTTTTTGGCCTATTTTTAACTATATTTTTAAAGTAGGTGAATCGTGAAGTGCCTGATATGATATGGGGCATATCATATCGAAATTTTGAACCTTGCCTATATGGGAGAATGGCAATTCTAAGCTCCCCATAGGGAATGGGATTCACATTCCATAATCAATTAAGAAGTAAATAATTCCTAACAAAATCCCCAAAGCCTAATATTATTAAATTAATAATAAGATAATGATAATAAAAATAATAATATGTTAATAAGAAGATAATAATATATTAATAAAACATTCATAAATTAATGATAAATACTAAGATATTAATTATTAAATACTAATAAAATAATAATTATAGATTAATTAAATATTAATAAAGTAAATGGAATCTGATTCCGATTCCGATTCCAATCTTGTCCATGAACCAAATGGACCCTTATTACTATTTCAACTCATTTCCTTTCTGGTCTGCCTCTAGTGCTTCTGGCCCTTCAACTTGCAACAGATCACTTCTTAAGTGTATAATACTTTTGTAAATTATGAGCTGATAAATAAGAGAGAGAATAATTGGAGTAGCTATTTTCGTACAGTACGGATATGCTCCTCACAGAATGCTCCTCATACCGACCTCACAATACGTCTCAGCTGCACATCAGGAACATCTCCCATACTTATGTCTTGTTATTCATGGGGAGATGCTCCAAATGCATGGTGGGATGTACTGTGAGGTCATTGTGAATAGCTCTCTAGGGCAAATATAAAAAGAACCTAATAGGAATGGGAGTCATGGGACACATGCTTTATACATTTGCTGAAAAAAATAAAAAGAAAATGAACCAATCTAATCAGGCATGGCCCAACCTAAGACGTGCCCGAGTTAAAATGACTTTGGATCTTTTACCCACAAAAACTCTATCCACGTTTACCTACAACACACTACCTCCATGTATTAAAAACATCTTCCCGTGTATAATTAGGAGGATGAAATATTCCCCACGGGCAGAGTTCTAGTGGGCAGGAGATCCGGACTTATGTAGGGTTGGACTCTAAGATCAGGTTTGGGTTGAGCTGGGCCTTGTGCTGAAGGCCATAACTTTAAGGATAAGGTCTGTGTTGGTGTGGGCCCAACTGCCTAAGTGCCCCAAGCAGAATCTTATATAGACATTTATAAAACTAGCTCCCACATGCACGATCTAAGTCAAAAAAGTACACTTGGAACTTGAACCATGAAAATGAATTAATTTGAGCTTCCTAAATAAAAAGCTAGAGTTTTTTAAAATAATGGTCCTTGTCAACCCAAACAGCAGGCATTCTCAAATGAATAAATTAGAATTCTTGGGAGGAATGAAAACTGTAAAACCAATTAAGAAAATAGGTTTTCCATTAAATATCCCCTATCCCCTATATCAAAAATCAAATTGGCAGTCCTATTTCTATCAATCTTGCTGTCACAGTTTCAGACCTTCAGCCAATTGTGCCTCATTTTCCTAGAATATGTTTGTGTCTGTTTGGCATCGATGTCGTTTCTCTATAAAATGGTGATACATTAGTGTTACATCGGAAAAAACGGTCCTCCAAGAAATGTCTACTTGTTTGGAACCATTTTTTATAAAAAACGGTACTCCAAGTTATGCCTTCAAAATCGAGGTGCGGTTTGGAGCAACGTTGAATTTGGCATTTTCTCARGCTGCAGCTCATTGGTTGCAACGAGGACGTGATGTGGCAATGACGTGGACTTCCTATAATGGGTACCCATGCTGAAAACAGACACTACAATAAATATGACCTTTAGCTACGGACAAAACCGTGGCTAAAGGTCAAAAAACCGTAGCTATAGACCTATAGCTATGGTTTAGCTACAGATAGAAAACCGTAGCCTATGTTTGCGTGGCTATAGCCTACAGATACGGAACAATTAATCTGTGGCTATAACCCATCTATAGCTACGGAATCTATCCATAGCTAAAGGGCGGACACAAACCATATGAACCTTTAGCCACGAGCTGAACCGTAGCTAAAAGATGCATATAGCTACGGTTTTTAAATTGTCTGTAGTTATATACCCAAATCTATAACCACGGATTTTTATAAAACCGTAACTATAGTTCTTCTACTTATAGCTATGGTTTGGTACAAAACCAAAGCTAAATGTACGAACCTATAACCACTGTTTTTTACTAAAACCAGCGATAAATACTCTAACCTATAGCTACGGTTGTTTTGACAAACAGTGGCTAAAAGATGCAATATATGCCCACAATTTCTTGGAAAACCATAGCTAATTGTTTCAATTTATAGAAAAATTGTGGCTATATTCCAAATAAAATACACTACAAGAAAAAAAGGTTATAGTGACAATTTTATTTTGTCACTAAATTCAAATTTAGTTATTTATAATTACGACTTTTCTACCACTACAAGTTTTCTACTTTTCAAACTTGCGACATACATGAGAAATCACCTATTTTATTTTCACATCACATCAAATATATAGATAAATTTCTACAAAAAGCTAACATGTAATTAAAAACTAAAAATACATGGTAATATAACCTCGATACATCAACAAGTAAAAAATGTTTCAAATGTGGCAATTTGCCATGTTACATATAATAACCCACAACAAAATTAAAAAAATATTGATCTTAAATCTCTTTATCCATGTATGTTGTTATTCCTTATAAATGCATTCAACCTGAAAAACAAAATACAATGAAAATTAGATTTTTGAATTAATATATATCATAATTTCAAACATGAATGTAGTAGAGTGTTGTATGACTAAGAAACAAGATCTCCAAAAAATGAATGTAACAGAGATTGAAGTGGATGAGTAAAAAGAATTTGAAATGGTAAAATTAATAATAAGTAAATTAGTGGGAATCTAACAATGCTTCAAAATGAGGGAAAGTAGAACTAAATGATCTAATTTGGGGCAAAAAGAAAGAAGAAGAAAAAAAGAATCTGATGAAATAATCATGGAGTTGTTAAAGCTGTAGTGGACAAAGGTTTTTTGCTCAAGTTTACAAGCAGTTAAGCACGGATTCCAAGGTCTTGGTTATCCTCTCTGTAGTCTGCCCACAACCTCTTAAAATCAAATGTGTTAAGGCTGGAGGTTCGTACCGGAGCAGCACAAGTTGAATGGGGAGTGCATCATTTGGTCTCCTATATGAAGGAGAGCATTTTGAGAACCAAAGCTCCCAGTCATGTATGCTTATTCTTTGGAAATCATCTTTTTCATGTCTTTTTTATTTGATCCAGACATTCAAAATAGCAGAATCACAAATAATCATGTTCTAGGATGACTGGGGAAGCCTATTTTCTTGTTGGATTAAGAGCTTATATATAAGTTGAAGTACAACTAATTACAGGAGTGATTCTTTGGTTTTGTTGTTAGAACTAGGGTGTTTCATGTTTTTGTTGTGTTATGTTGGAGAAAGAACATAAGTTATAGGTGAACTTATTGAGTAGTTCATTCAAAGAATAATATTAATCCTTTTTTCATAAAAAAGAGAACCAAACAGTATTAAATTATAATCCAAATCAGTGGAAGATTAAAGGTGGTGCTAAGCAAGCCAAATCAATGGGGTCTTTATGTACAGGAGGTCATCTTGTCATTTTCTATTTTCTATTGCAAATAAAAATAGATCATTCTTTAAGTTGAATGATCTTGCAAGGAACATTAAAGAGCTAGTCCCCAGAACTAGATTAGCATTACATAAAGAAGCGGGGAGACAAGTGTTTCTAATGAACTAACATATTTTGATGCTCAAGGAACCCCAGATGAATCCAAGCAAACTACATTTATTCTTTTATCTTTTGGGTACATCCAACTGTAAATATTGGTAACTATTTATATTCTTCTTTATCCTTGGAAGTTTGTTAAAATTGGACTGTAGTCATCAATAGTTTATCATATTATCTGTCCTTGCTAGCTCTTTTAAGTGTGAATTACCTAATTATCAGTAGTAGATAGGCCAGGTGGTCCATTAAGATCAATTCCATTTCATTTAAAACCTCAAAAGTGGGCTAACACAATGACATGGGCTTAAAAGTGAATATGTTGCACTTCTATTTGCCATAGAAGAACAATAAACAAACTTGGGCTTTGGTTGCTCTTTGGTTTGATTTCTAATGACCCATCACTAGAGAATGAAACCACTACAAGAAAATACGCTTATAGCTACGGACAAAACCGTAGCTACAAATGCAAAAAACCATAGCTAGGTCTATAACTACGGATTGGCTACGGTCAAGAAATGGTAGCTACAGTCGCGGTGGCTATAGGCAATAGCTACGACTGAACGTATCCATAGCTACAACTAACCTATAGCTACGGTTTATGCCCATAGCTAAAGCCTAACCTCCGTAACTTAAACTATGGATTTATAGCTATGGATCCAAGTTGTCCGTAGCAAAAAGCATCAATCTATAGCTACGGATATTAACTGGCCGTAGTTAGAAAAATTTACCTATAGCCAATAGCAGAAGAGCAACAATCTATAGCTAAAAACCTTTAGCAACGGTTTTCTTCGACTGCTAAAACAGCTTTACGGTTTACATTGCCTGTATCGAAAAACATAAAGCCTAGATCCTAAATTTTTTTCATTATTTTTTCAAGCCTGCTTTCCTGTATTGAATACAAACACAACTAATTCATAATATAAGATGTAAATTGAATTTAAAATTCCAATAAAAGGTTCTTCAATAAATGAACTATATCTCAAGGTGCTTTAACATCCATGTGTTTGCTACAAATTCAAGTTTCTTGAATACATGAAAACTCAATCCAAAAAAAAAAAAATTATCATGTAAAATTTGATCAAATGTCTCCATCTAAACGTGTGAAGTATCCTCCTTTACCATGTTCAACCTATAAGAAAATAATAGAAAATAAGTTAGAAATCACATTTTTGGAGATATAAAATCATGTATGAAAATTTAATTAAGTATATATGCAATATAAACTTGCCTACTTTCCAAGCCTAATGTTAAACAAATGACAAATGTAAGGATTGAGATCAAACACAGCTTTTATGAATTCCGAATTTTCACTAAACACAACAGCATTTATGAATTCTATGTGGGACCCAGCCCGAAACACAAGAAGTTGTGTTTTGAAATCCCTTCCAAATGGGCACTAATATGGTAGAAGGAAAAGGCAATCCCTAGCATTTCAAGGTGTTTGAAATGAAGGGTGATTATAAGATAGCACATACAACTACAAGCTGACAGACAAACCTATAAAATCATAAGCATTTTATAGATCATTCCTAGGACCTCATAAACCCCATCTCAAAGCTAAAACAGAGTAATGAAAGAGATGGAGACAGGTTTAAGCTGAAACAGCTGAGGTAATATCTCACTTCAAGTTCGTAGGTAGGTTGAAACTGAAACAACTGAGGTAATAGTCTGTTTGTAGGAAGATCTGGCTACCTTTCATTTGATGTGGCAATCATGGCTCTTTAGCCCAAAGTTCAGATAGAACCCCAATAAACTAATTGTTGGCCACCCTACAAATTGCAGGAAGAGCTGGCCACCCTTACATAATTCCCTTGTAAAAATTATACATATATTAAAGGCCATTCTTGTGGTCCAGCAACAAGTACTTTAGATTCAGCTCATTGTTTAACCATATAATATTAGTAATGGTGGAATCAAGCATTCCATGATGTAGAGAAATACCACTGATCAATTCAAGAATCAAATTAGCCCAAGGCAGCCACAGTATTTGAAGATTGAGCTAAGCCCATAAAAATATCATACTTTTTTAAGACATAGTATAATAGATCTGATAATCAAAACTCATGTCTTTAAGAGGTGCAGTATTGGCTATAACTGAAACACAGCAGCAAGATATCCATTTAAAACATGTAAGGGATACATTGGGTTGTATTGCATCTTATCCTTTTCTTTTGCATTTTTATCAGTAAGCTATTTTCAGTATAATGAAAAATATGAGAAAATATACACCAGAACATATTCTCAAGGGTACTCTTATGACTGTAAATAGTTTATAATAATATACAAGGTTCTTTGAGGTGGGAATTCATTTGTGCAGCTTTGTAGCTTTTGTATGTTGTGTGATTTTTTCTTTTCAGGACAGCCTAGACATGCTGCCTTCTCTATGTTTAGATACTTTATTATGAGCTATGTACAGTTAAAAGATACCCTTTAAGAGGGTCAAAGAATAAAAAAAATGGAAGAACACTCTGCTAGGAGCTCAAGCTTCATGTCGTCGAGGCTGCTTTGGGAATTCTGGTGCACCATGTCTCACAGGTGCAAAATGGGTCCCTCCCCCTCTCTGTTGCTCAGCTCTCTGGTTCCTTTGGTGAGAAACCTTCAAGGGTCTCTGCGGGTGTCCTTGGGACTCCTTGCCAAAGGGAAGAGGTGCAAGCCACATTTCCATTGCCATTCCTCCTCAGTTCCAAGCATCAAGAATTCCACTGGTTGGGTTTTGTCATAATTCTAAACTTTCCCATTTGAAAGGGAGTTAAGTTCTAAAATGGTTCACATGTTTGATTGCATGACCTGTCCTTGGGTGATCTACTCAGAATACGCTGTCCACACTAGATTCAGGCCCCTATTAATTTCTTCCCTTGCATTTATTTATCTCAGAATTCAGTGTGTGTTGAATAAAGCAGGAAAATGGCGACATTGGCATAGGATGCCAACTTACTTGATGACCACAACTACCACCTGCTTTTCTAGACAATTTTAGCTCACAACATAGACCTTTCTTCATTCTCAATCTGAACTGATATTTCTTGATGGTGGGTTCCCTTCTACTTGCTTGCAACAATGTGTTGGTGTTGGTTGGGCAATGGGGGGAGGGAGGGAGAATCAATTCCAGAATTCCTTCTATTTCACGTGAAGGCTAGCCTGCATTCAACACCATACTCTTTGATTTATGTGTTGGCTACCAGCCCTAGCAGGACCACCGATCATTACATGTAGGCCTAAATGGTAGTGGCATGATAAGCCAATGGGCACGTAGTAACGTGTCTGAACACTGAGAAGAAAGGTCCTCTGTAAAGAAAATGGTAAGGTTTAACCTCTTTGGTTGGGTGGTGCTCTGTTTCTTATTATTATTGGATGATGTTGAGGTTCAACAATTTATCAACCCAGTTCCTTCACCAAAATTAAAAGAAAAAAGAAAACAGAATAAACAATAAAAGCTTTCTATTTAAATACAGAAGTGTGAATAAATGTTTGCAATTTCCAGATGGATAGAAAAGGATACCAGAATATTTGCTTGTATCTCTGATCTTTGAAGATCTTTTCCATTGCAACTATATGAGATTGCAGTTTCTAGATTATTGGATTTGATCATCCTTTTCACATTTAGCCAGATATAGTACAATTGGGGTTGCACATCGGCTTCAAGATTATTGGATTTGATCAAAGACGGCTTCTCACTCTGAATTTCTAGCAACATATCAGAGAGAGCTATGACAAGGTCACTGGACAGGATCATCCCCCTTGCCTTTAGCACGGAGAAGGATCTATTGAGGTTGCTCCCCATATCATTAGAGAAGCTCAAACGGAATGGTATTAAACCCGATTGAAGGTTCAGAAGCCTCCTTACTGAAGTTGTAAGGCAAAGATTGGGCAGTTAGGTCGGCAATGTGACCAGGAGAGATGCCATATGACCTGTCTTTGTATAAACAAAAAGTGCATCCACCTCTAGATTGTTGGCTAAGATCACAATTCTACCCTCATCAAACAGGTCCATACCCATCAAGCATCAAAGCAGCAGGAGCACTTCAACAATAATGATTACAAATAAAATAACAGATTACTGCACCATAAAATCAACAAGAATCATGGGATTTGTTTTTCCCAAATTTTTTGCACATGATACTGACAATAAGAAAAAGCTGTTTATTTCAGCAACCAGCTAGCCTTCAGTTCAAAATTCTTTTTTATTGGTATTGGTGTTGCACTTATTTATTAAAAAAAGAATAAAATACAAATATACACTACAAACTTGACATTTTCTTCTATAAAGCATGAATTATTAGGAACTAACCTAAGTTTTATTCCTCCCTAAGCTAAAGCAATGCTGATTTACTCAATAAGGTACACACACCAAATAAAGTTTGTTGATTCCTTCCCTGGTGGGAATATTCTAATGTCTGTTTAAAGTCATATCTGATGTAACTATGGAACAGATAACAGAGTAGAGCAACTCTATAAATTATGTAAAAATTATGTCAATATTCAGTCCACCCCACCCAAGACCCTTGATAGCCATGACCAACATAGGGTAATGGCCCTTGACAGAGTAGCCCAAATGAAGCTCTCACTAGAGAAAAGACCTTAATGTCCACTTCAGAGAGAGTATATGCCATGAAAGAAATATTGACATTTTTTCAGATAAAAACCCATTAACATTTCAAGTCAATCAGACACATGCTTATTAAAGGAGCTAGAAGGGATTCAATCTAAAGCTTTTAGAAAGCTTCAATTCCTATCCATCTTTTTCCTGTAAGGCTGTATGAGTTTCTGCACAATAATATGCCTCATTGACCATGTATTTTTCCGTCCATGGAACTTTACTCCCCCTATCCCCATCTTAGCAGCAGACTTGAATATCTCCTTTGAAATCCTGTCTGCAAATGAAGCAGAGATGTCCTGGAATTCCCATAGCTTCATGGTGTTTCTCTTCCCTCCACTACCTTTCAATTCTCAGGCTGACACTTCTCAGTACTGTCAATGCTTTCTCTAGGTACTGACCCATTGTAGACTCACCAAAAAGCATCTGCCTGTTGTCTAATTGCTTCAGAAACATCCGCCACTTTAACTCTGGTGGGTGTAGGGTATTAAATCATTGACTCAAGAAGCTGAGAGGCAACAATGACAGGCTTGTTTAGCTGTCTGCATAACTTGACTATATTTTGTTGGGCTGATGAGACTTGCTCCAATGGGATCTGAGCACCTAGATCTCTTCTTGCCACCATGGTTCCATCTGATATCTGAATGATCACTTCCAAGTTCTTCAAGGAGTCTATACTCTCTATCTTTTCAATGACAACAAGTTCACTACAGAAAACCAATTAGACTTTCCAATATCATAATCAGAAGCACAATACATTTGCAGATTTCCCTAAGCCTGTCTTTGGATTTGGGTGGTGGAAATGGAAATACAGGATGTAAGTGAAGAATCAGCAGGTTTTGGAATGACTAGACCTCTAAAGATTAGCAAATCTGGTGTGGTCAAATGCATTGCCACGTAGCAGACCAGGAGCACTCATATCAAAGCCTTTAAATAGGCTAGCTGTAGAGTTTGGTTCCCATCAGAGTTTTGACAATCCAAAGCTTCATAAGCCTATTTGAAAATTTTCAATGGACTCAAGTGACATTGGAATTTGTTAAGGAGATCAGAATTTGATTAGTACAAGTTCAGAAGAAACAATTTTTGATCATTAATTGTCAGTCATTAATGATAGATTAGCTAGTACTAATCTCACATCCATGGACATCCAAGAACCACCAAAACTGATATGGAGCATCAGTGGACCGACTTGGATTTCTGAACAAAGAAACAATAACATGTCTCTGTAGGGTTGGGCCCACAAAAAATAAGGCATGTGATAAGGGGTTTGGTTTCTTTGTACAGCAAAAAGGGTTTATGTTAGGGGATAAAGGGCCTTGCGAAACAAGCAATTGGGATATTCAAAAACCATTTGGGGCACCTTTTGGCATTAATTGTGAGGAAGTCAATAAGATTTAGTAAAGATTTTTTTTTCTTTGGGGGTACTTGATTTAGTAAAGATAGGGTTCTATTTTAGATGTCTAGGCTAGCCACGTGTTCAACTTTCTTTCTCCAATCTCTCCTCTAATATTCTCATCTTCTTATATATAAGCACCAAGCAGGTTATCTATAGTTAAGTGGGAAGTGGATTCAGAGTCCAAGTGGAACATTCATAGCTAATGTCCCCAAACCAAGAAATCTGGTCTGCCCAGATTTCCTGAAAGACAAATGTTCCCCTTTATAAATGTGGAACTGTCAAGGTTTGATAGTTTCTAAGGGTGCACCACTAAACTTATTTCCTCTGATGCTCTAACTGATTAAGTTTTCTTTTGAATGCAGGTTGACATTTTGGTTGTCAAATTCAGTTGTCAAGGTTTGATAGTTTCTAGGGCCATATGTTTTGTTAAATGGAAGGACATCAAGTCCGACTGCCGCAACTACATCCTTTTTTTGTCCCCTTGGAGCTTTGGTTACACTAAATCACTTCTTACTGGCACTCTAATTGGTCCTTGATGCACATGACCAAACCATTTCTATTTTTTTTTTTGAAAGGTAAGGCAAAATTTTATTAATTCGGATACATTCAGGTTCTTAAATTCAGGAGATACAGACACCCAAGAAATCAGCTTGCTGATTGCCTCCTCATCAGTACTCTTTGTCTTGTTGCAAAAGACTCACCTATTCCTCTCTGACTAGGTTACCCAAAGAACAGCCATAGGAATTGTCTTCCATATTAATTTCCCTTTTTTCTTCAGGCCTGAAATCTCGCAGCTAAATAGAAGGTCTTTGACTAAACTTGGCATGACCCAGCAAATTCCAGCAGCCCTGAGAAAATGATCCCACACTCTAGAGGAGATAAGACAGTGGATACAAAGCTGGTCTTTGGATTCAGGCAATAGTCCACAAAGACCACACAACAGAATGTTGCCCTGTATAGGACCTTGTTCATGAGGGAAGCACTGATTCTTCTGAATATATTGGCATCAAGTCCAGCTAAAGCAAGGGCTGATAAAATATAACGGCACAAAGTAAAAAGTGCAGATGGAGGTTGAAATTGTCGAATTAACTTGGGTGTTCAAGTTGAGAGTTTTCAATTACATTACATCATCACATTCTTTTGTTTTCTTCAACAGATTGCTAAACCACAAACTTATGCATTCTCCCAATGGCAATAATGGCGGCAACCAAATGCTAAAGCATCCCTCACAGAGGTGAGAAGTAAAGCAGCAATAATAAATCCTATCTCAGACCAATTAAACTAAAGCATGAAAATACACAAAAAAAATCAACTAAACTATTAGGAACAAATTACCTTGCCTTTCCAAATGCCACAAATAGATAAATCCACTTTCAACCTCTGCAGACAAATAAATCCACCTTCAACCAAGCCTAAAGCCTGTTCAAGCACAATAACACACTTGGTACAATTAACCATTAGCCATGTTTGAGGGAATAAGGAAAATGAGAAGCAACGTGCGGCTGTATCTTACCACAACTCTTCCGGCGGCAATGGTGCCGTAATGCCGATTCTCACAAGAAGGACACTCGGTTCCAAAAAGAAAGATAGAGAGAGACAGTGGTTTTAGCAAGCTGGAGATCGTTTGAGCGAGATAGAGTGAGAGAGAAGGGGGAGTGACCACAACTCTTCCGGCGGCAATGGTGTCGTAATGCCACTAGGGTTTTCCCAAGAAAGACACTCGAATAAAAAATAGAGAGATAGAGAGAGGACAGAATGAAAGAGAAGGGGACGATTCTTGATGTTGCAGGCCTAATAAAATCGATTCTTGATGATAGAGTGAAAGAGAAGGGGATGATGGAGAAAATCCGAGTATGTGCGTTCGTTCGAGTGAGAGCGGGGGAGATCTTGCAGCTCGATCAAGCGATTCTTGAGAGTAAGAGAGAAGGGGACGATGGAAAATTTGACTATACTGGGAGTGAAGATTTCCCAAGGGTGATAATGGACTAGGTGCCAATGTTTTGTAACTGATGACGGTTCGACCATATTTGCTATTAATTATACATTTATTTAAACAATGAAATTAATTTTTGATGATTAGTTTTGATTAATTAAAAAACAGTTAATATTTATTTATTTATGTTTTGGAGATTATTATTATCATTTTTTCAATGTAATTACGAAATTATTAATAATTTAATCATTAATTGTTATCGTTATTCATTAGTAATGAACTAATAATTTATTAATTATTAATCATATTCAATTTATTTATTTTAATAATTTCTTAATTACTAATTTTCTATTAATAATAATTAATAAATAATAAATATTTATTAATTATTAATTTCCATGCATTAATTACATGAATTTCTAATCATGACTAACATTTTATTAAAATATTTATTACTTTATTATTTTTAATACTTTATAATCAATATATAGCCACCAATGACTAACATTTGTGGCTATAGTCAAGGATCAAAATTTTGATACAATACACTTCGGCTAGGGCTTAACCCTAAATTTTGGGGCTCTAATGAGGGCCCGAGCCTCGGCTAGGGCTTAAACACAAAATCTAGGTCTATGAGCAAAAATTTTCAACTTGCTAAAATGATCACCCTTGTTTTTATGGCAAAAATAGCAAGGCAAGGTGCCTTGATCAGTACTTTAAAACACATAGGTAGCAAAAAAGTTACCCAAGACCAATTCATTAGTTCTTGGGTTAGACCAGTTTGGTTGATGGTTTTGGCTTTTTTTTTTTTCTTTTTGGAGAAAATAGGGTTAGGTGTATGATCAAATTGGTTAAGGGTTGGGTCATGGTTTAACAATAATCTGACTAGTTAGTCTCGTTTGGTTAGTGTTATATGTTTTATTATATATAGAATAAATAATGCTGTTTTGAAATATGTAGAATATATATATATATAT